CTCTCGGGTTATCTGAATAGACTCTGACGTATTTTAACTGGCTAACTAGACTTCCAGAGGAAATCTGGCTTTAAGCTTCTAGAAGTGACCTTCCTCTTTCTTTTTCCTTCATAGTTGGAAGAGGAAAGAGCAGAAAGACAATGACATCAACAAACACTTAATACCCAGCCAGGGTGTACTAGTGGGGGATCCGTTACATACCCTGGCCAATTTCCACCCTGCTCTTGGAAGCCCCTAGCTTTTATTTATTGAGAAGTAAGTTGCATAAACGCCTCTTCACAGGAATGGTCTGTAGGAAGACACTGTTTAAACCACACGTGTAATTTAAAATTTTCTAATAGTCACATTAAAAAGCAAAAAGAAATAGGCAAATAATTTCAATAGACTTTATATAACTCAATGCATAGAAAATATCTTGCAATGTAAAAATGTTGAGACATTTTAGATTCTTTTCTTCTTACTAAATGTACAGTATATACTTAGAGTATATCAAATTTGGATCCTGAATTTTTAATGGGAAATAGTCAAGTTGAAGTATATGATTTTATAAAATTTACAGCCAGAAAAGTCATGAACATGAAGTGTTCCAAACATAATTACAGGTTTTCTGTTAACTGAATAAATTATTCTTCTTTAATATTTACATCCACACTGACAATACTGGTCCATCTTTTTAATAGTAATCACTTTTGAGTATTTATTTATTTATTTTTGCAGTACTGGGGATTGAACTCAGGACCTCCCCCATGTTCTACCACTGAGCACTCTACCACTGAGCTACAGCCTTTTTAAAGCAAAACAACAACAACAACAAAATACTTTGAAGCCAGGTGGTGTATGACAGCTAGGGAGGCTGAGGCAGGAGGATCACAAGTTCAAAGCCAGCTTCAGCAAAATCAAGGCACTAAGCAACTCAGTGAGACCTGTCTCTAAATAAAATACGAAACAGGGCTGGGGATGTGGCTTAGTGGTTGAGTGCCCCTGAGTTCAACCCCTGGTTACCCCCCGCTGCCAAAAATATTTTGAAGCAGGATCTCACTAAATTGCCCGCACAGGCCTTGAATTTGCAATCCTCCTGCCTCAGTCTCCAAAATAGCTGAGATAATAGGTGTGTGCCACTGCACCCAGCTCATTTTGACTTTCAAGCAAAATCTATCGGTTTCAAAATTCTATCTACACAAGTTAAGGAAATTCATTCACTCTTACATGAGCTCAGAATCAACATTGAACTCAAAGTAGTACTGAGGGAATGGAAAGCAGTTCTTTATCAGTATTGACAATTTCTTTTCATTTTCTTATAGTTTTTACAGCCATTTTATAATTGATATAATGTTATCAATAATAATTTAAACCTTCTGCATATGGACATGAAAAAGAAAACTGCAAAACTCATTATATATTGATGAAATTATGAAAGGTTCCCATTTCAACTTAAAACCTCACATCTGTCAAAATGGATGACATAGAAGCTTTTTCTTTCCTTGGAATTTCAAATTTGGTTAATTTAGATACTGTGTGATGTTGTGAAAACTACACCCACACGGTTTTATATTCTTTGCAAATATTTGCCAGATATTGCAAATATTGCCAACTTTCCTATCATTTTCAAGGAAATCTTGAATTGGAGTTAATAGTACAGTAAAACTTTGTAAAACTATTCCACAACTCAAGCAGAGAACATTGGCAAAGATATCATGGAACCATGAAGTTCATTGTCTTCTATTTCTTTCAACAGTTCCATAAACTTATAATGATTCATTGCGTTTGCATGTATACACTGAATGATTTTAACAACAGTATCCAGGACACATTTCATGGAGCCTGCTTCAAAAAACTGAGTATAAATATTTGTAACATGTATCATGCAGTGAAACAAAGAAATAAAGGAAACATCAGTCTGTTTTGAAAAATTCCAATAAATCTTCAGTTTTGAACTAACATAACTGGAGAACTGTTGTTGTTGTGTTAGGAACTAATTTTTTTAATATCTAGCCAAAATTCTTCTTTGACAGATGTAAACTATTGAAAAATATTTATTCCATGAGTTCGATATTTTAGGCCATGAATGAATAATATTTCTCAGTAAATTAAAAAGTCTTTGGGGGACAAAACGTACCCAAAGTACTAATTGGACAGTGTATTTTATATCTTCTGACTCATCTAAAGCTAAACAAACAAACAAACAAACAACAACAACAAAAAAAAAACCTCAAAAAATGAACTTGCACCTGCAGTTTTTCAGAATTTGAGTCAACTCATCTTTTTTATTGTTATGGATTTGTATTCTTCAAACACTTGTTTGCTGATTGCATTGAAGTTTTTATTTTTTTGTGAAGTATATTTTTTAAGTCTTTTCCTTATAATTTCTTCACAAAATTCTTGTAACTGAAAACATTTCTTTTACCATTTTTCCAACTAAAAATGTCTGTATATGTATATGCATATGTGAGAATCAAAGCAATTTAATATCTGGCCAAAGAGAAGAACTTGGATCCTGTTAAAAGTCTTCAGATTTTAGGGAAGAAAACAAACTGACTTAAATTTTTCATCTTTGATATTCAGTTTTTATTTCAGGTAAATACTTTCATCAAGTCTCATTTGAATGTTGGGAGTAAATTGATAAAATTTACTATGTATTTGTTGAAAAAGTCTCATTAACTAATGTATACGCTTTATTCTCTTTAGACAAATTACAACAATCAGCTTTCTGCTTTTGCTCCATTTGAGTAAATCATAATTGCCATCCACTGTGGAATTTGCAACATACCTTCTTTCAACCTCTCTCAATTTATAACTCTTTGTATTAAGGGATTGGCATTTGTACCTCTCCACAATTCTCCATCATGTGTTACATCTACATTTTGGATTTAAATTTTTGTCTATGTTTATTTCAAACTAGAAAAATAGTTGAATCAAGGACAATGACATTTTTATTCCATTACCAATTATGATTTGTAAAGCCATAACTGTAACTTGTGCTGTTTTTCTAAATTATTCAAAAAGCACATTATAAAGTTGTATCACCACATAGCAAAACAATAATTCAAACTCAATCAATACGTGAACATAGATGAGATTAGTGATGGGTTTACGTTCTGTACAGTCACATATGCACCAGAGAATATTAGTGCTTTATGTGAGAGATGAAGTGCAATGTAGTCCTGCCAAAATGATCAAATTAGAAAATACTGGAAAAAATATGTACACTGCTTCAGTTTTTAATGTAAAGTAATTACAATGAAGTAAAAATAAGAAATCTGGTGTCACAGTGGCACTAGCCATATTTCAAGTGATTGCAACCCAAACGTGGTTGGATTAGCATATTGGAATGTGCAATCTCCCATATGTAGTCTCTAGACCTGGTAGCCAGTCTCCCAGCTCAACCTAAAAGCCCTTCTCACAAAGCTTTTGATTCCATTTCCCTAAATGAATAATTTAGAACTCCCATGAACAGATATTTTTAAAATATGATTAAGCTACAATCAATCGTGACTCATTCCAAATAACGATGCAATGAAATAAAACACAAATTAAGAATAAAACAATCTTGACTTTCAGAAAATCTGGCTTTCATGCTTTCCACATTTTCATTTATTGCATAGTATATTAAAGGAGAGTTCCATGTAAATCATTAAGCACAATGTCTGGAACATAGTAAGTCACATGCTTGTTTGTTTCCTCCCTGTGTCATCTGATTGCTGATGATTTTGAGCCAAGAGAGGGTGGTGCTGTTGTCCATTTGCTGCTGGTGCTGGGGACAAGGGGAGGGTCAAGGGTGGTTGACGGTTGAGAGCTGAGGCTGGACTTCCAAGGTAGCAGATGTCCATTGCCTTCCCCAATCATGACTTCATTCCTTGATTGCCAGGGTGTGGAGATGGCTCACCATCTGGGGTCATCATCTCAAGCTGGTGTCTTCTAGGCCTTCTCCTCTGGAAACACATGTACAGGGAGTGCTGGCCACTATGGAGGACCTACTCATTCAGCATTTTTATAGAGAGCCAGAGGAAATTCTCATTCAGCATTTGTTTAGGAAGCAAGAAAGATTTTCTTTCCTCCAACCCAATGCTTATGCCTCCTGGTTAGGGGAGGGGTTATATGGCTTTACTCTCAGCCTATGGGTTATCAAGCCTTGAGCTCTTCTTCCATGATCACAGCTGCTCTACCCTGGCCAGGTGCCTGTTAAAGATTGCCATATATCAGTTTCTAGTGAAAATAAAATTAAGATTTTTCCAATATTTCTCATTTGGGGGACACACCCCATCCTGCCCTAAAACAGGTAAGCCTACTGGTCAACTTCTGAATATTGGTCTTTGAATATGTCAGGAATACTGTTTTTATTAATAAAAGGGGAGTTGGAAGAATGAAAGCTAGTGTTTATTGAGAGCTTACCATATTCTAAGTATTTCATAACTTCTCAAAACATTGTGAGTGTTTTTGTCTGCAATTTTGAGATGATGAAACTGAAGCAATGCAAAAGTAACTTACCAAGGCCAAGAACACACTGCTGGTAAAAGTGGTGCTAGGATTCAGATTTAGGTGGTCTGACTCTAGTATTTATATCTTTGTTCTTATACAGTGGTGATTATCTAATTAAAACGTCCCTAGGTTTTGTTTGTTTGTTTGTTTGTTTTTTGTCTCAGGCAGGGATTGAACTCCTGGATGCTTAACCAGTGAGTCACATTCCCAGTGTTTTGTTTTGTTTTGTTTTGTTTTTTGAAACAGGGTCTCCTTAAGTTGCTTAGGGCCTTGCTAAGTTGCTAAGGCTGGTCTCAATCTTGAGATCCCCCTGCCTCAGCCTCCTGATTTGCTGGGATTACAGGCAGGCGTCACTGTGCCCTGCTCCTAGTTTTTTCTTAACTTCTATTTAAGTCTTTCTGAACAGAAATATATTAACTATTTGATGCAACAATTTACTCACACTTGCTAATGGGACTGACCCAGTATTTTTGTTGTTGTTGATATTGTTGAATTAAGTAAACTAATTCTTGTTTACCTTTAAGGTTTGGAAGTTGTCCAGCCTGCTATTCCAAAAGGACCTCAGAGTGAGACAAGTGCAAGGCAAGATAATTCACAATGAAGTCCTGAAGACTCCATTGGAAGGATGGAGGGTGAACAGGCAAAATTCAGGCACTGACATTGATCGAGTTGGACACATGGCAATAACCTGACTTTATATAAGCTTTCTGGCAGGCAAAGCAAAAGCTGAAGATGTTGGATTGCATAGTTGTCATTTACTGACAATCAGAAAGATAAAAATTCATCTGTAGACAACTCAAGTAGGAATTGATTGCATGAGCCTTTAAAAAGGGAACTGAAAAACAACATGGAAAATATCTCACTCTGGCTTTATGAGGCACAGAAGAGTCATTTAGATACTTGGTTGTCATATTGCTCTTAAGTAAGAGCAGATGCCCTTTTATACAAACCTGATACTTGTTAAATCCTTTCCACGAGGCTTAAGAAACATAATTCTGTGCTTCCTTCAAGGCCTGAGATTACAAGATTGGAACCTGGAGAAATTCTTATGGGTAATTTATGTGCTCCGACTCTCTCAAATCCCAGATGTCTAAACAATCACCCGGCATGTGTAAAATACCTATAAATAATGAGCACATCCTCTAAACAATATAGATTTTTCTGAACTGTTTGTTCAAATGAAAGCTATATGCTTTAGATACAAGGTTGGTAAAAAAAATAAATAAATGTTTCATTGGCATTTGCGGCCCTGGGCATGTCATGCTGCCCAGACAGGCTGACCACTGCAGAAGCCTGAGCCACAGGGAGTGGGAGAATGAAGAACAATGGACTGTGAAATCATGTGCGAGGTATTGTTTGGCATAACTCTAGGAGGGAGCTATTGTTATCTACATTCTCCAGATGAGAAAACTGAAGATAGCAAAAACCAAAGGTTCCTTCTGAACAGCATTGACTTCAAAGCCCCCTCTCCCTGAACACAGTGCTGTTATCCGAAGACACTTAACTCTAATGCATACTTCTCGGCAAATCTTTAGCCTGACAAGTCATTTGCTCAGTGTTAGCACCTGTCTACACCTTCCCAATGCAAACTTCATTATTGCACTTATTATTTTTTTTTTGAAGAAAGCATCTATTGGATGCCACAAACTAAAATAGTGTTAAAAAAAAAAGCAATAATTCCATTTAACCAGTTGGATAAGACTGTATAAACTGCCCTTTTAAATTTTGATAAATGCTTACTTAGTTCTATGATTTAATCATGGTATAATTAATAATAGTTGGTGTTCCTTCTGACCACAGCCGAACAACAAATTCGACTGCTGTTAAGGCCTCTCCTATTTGGAGACAATAAAACAATGCCACTGGTTCAAAGGAGAGAGCCCGGCCTTCCTGCTTCCTATGGCAGAGGTGCATGAACCCAATTGTCCTGGGACCATAAAGATTAGAAAAGAAGCAGTGCTAGGTCATTGCCCAAGTTGACGCCATTTAAAATTGGCACTTTATTTACCGTGGGAACCAAACTTTTCTAATGGGCCTGTTTTCCTAGAACTGCCGAAGAATCAGGCCTGCAGTCAGTGGTACGTATTAATGATGTTGAGTTGCTCAAGTGTCCTTGAGGTTTTCACGCTGGGAAGGAAAACATGCTCTTCAGCAGAGCTTTGTTCTGACATAAAGCACTTTTTACCAGTAAGGATAGGAATAGGACCGTAGTGCAGATAGGAAGTCAAATTATTGGAGAGAGGGACTGTAGTGATATCAGGGCTATGGGCGGAGTTAAAGATGACAGGAATTTTAAGTTTCGGTAGTCCAGATGGTTAAGCAGAAGTAGGAAAATTAAGAACCAGATAGTTTGAGGTTTAGAGGGAGAGGGACATGTGTAAATCTACTTGAAGGTGGCTGATAAATTAACAGTCACCTTCCTTGTGTGGGACCTGTGCTGTCACTTACTTTTCCCCATTAATGTTGACAAGCATCAAGAGTTCCTTAACAGTGTGATAAAGGTCCGCAAAGGGGTAAGACTTAGTGGGGCTGACACTTTCATTTCACAACCTGATCCAATTTATAGAACCAGGTTTTGGGTTGTCCTTTTATCTACTCTTCTATTTGTTTGAAGTTCATTCAGAAAATCAGCATGCACTTCCAGGCCAGGCATTGTGCTGGTTACTGGGGATGAAATGGTCAACAGCACAGGTCTTATTGGAGATACAGAAAACAGTCAATAACACCAGAATGAGCACGCAATGTGGGATCATAGGAAAAGCATGATGAGCGGCCCTAGGAGAAGCATCCAACTCAGTCCTAGTGAGTCTAAGAAACCTGCCTGGAGGAGACGATGCTCAAGAGCAGACCGGAAGGATGGGGGAGAGAGCCAGTGAAGTATCTCCTACCTCCTAGGAAGGCACCTTCCAGAAGGAGCTGGGAGCTGGCCAGCATGGTTGGAGTGTGAAAGTGAGGTGAGTTGAGAGTAGGGGCAGAAGAGGGAATCATGAAGGACTAGATCATGAAGCATCTTGTAATCCTTGTTTAAGAGTTGGGACTTGATTCTAAGAGTGGCCTGGTGCTAATGTACTGAAGGACTAGAATGATCTCTCTGCCTTAAGTGGGAAGGATGGAGTGGGCTTGAAGGAGAGCTTTGAGCAGTGCTTGTTGCCTTTGATCATCTGCCAGTCCCATCAAGTTCTTTGGCTCACACTTCAGTGGGGAGAATCTAAAAAAAATCAGAGTTAAAGATAGTGAGACCTTTGGCACCAGAGTTATTCAGCCCTCCATCTCTGACTCTGTCTATCCAACTAACACTTTAACAGTAGTTATCAAGGAATAAATAATAACCTGACTTTCATAAGCACCATCTGTGTATATAAGCCCTTCGTGGCCTCCTCATAACGACCCTGTGTTGTAGGGATTATTATCTCCATTTCACAGATGAGGCAACGATGGCTCAAAAACTTGAGTACCTTGTCCCAGATGACAAAGGTAGTAAGTGACGAGGGAAGATCTGAACCCAGGCAAATTGACACTAAAGCCCTTATGAGTGGCTGCCAGTTATGAAAATTCAGGTAGCATTTATGTCTCTAATCTGGATGTTACCATGACTCAGGGGAAGAGTCTGAAAGATAGAACTACATGATTTTTTTTGTGTGTGTGTGTGGTATGCCATTCAAACCATTGAATGACATCCATATTATTATGTAACCATCATCTCTCTCCACCTCAAAACTTTTCCAGCATCCCAATTAGAAACTTGCTACTCGTTAAACAGTAACTCTCCCCACCCCACCGTCGTTGAAATAAGCTGGACATGAAAAGTCAAATACTGTGAGCTTCTAGCCCATGGTAACCTCTACTTTCTATCTCTGTGAATTTGCCTTGTCTAGATGTTTTGTATAAATGGAATCATATAGTATTTGTCCTTTTTGTGTCTGGCTTATGTCACCTAGCATAATTAGGTTCATTCATTTAGTAACATACATTGAATGTCATTCTCTTTATGACCAAATGATCTTCCATTGTATGTATGTAACACGTTTTGTTTTTATACTTCTCATTTGTTGGACACCTGGATTTTTCTCCACCTGTTTTTACTATTGGACATAATGCTACAGTGAACACTGGTGTATAAGTACCTATTTGAGTCCCTGCTTTCCATTCTTTTGGGGAACTGCCTAAGAGTGGAATTGCTGGGTTGTGTAATGTTTCTATGTTTAGTTTAATTTTTTTATTGTCAGTAGTTCTTTTTTTTTTTAAAGTGTATGTGTGTCGATGGGGGTACTGGGGATTGAATTCAGGGGCTCTTGGCTACTGAGACACATCCCCAGCCCTAATTTTTGTATTTTATTTAGAGACAGGGTCTCACTGAGGTGCTTAGTGCCTTACTGCTGCTGAGGTTAGCTTTGAACTCGTGATTCTCCTGTCTCAGCCTCCCAAGCTGCTGGGATTATAGGCGAGCGCCACAGCAGCCGGCAGTAGGGCAGTAGTTGTTTGTTTTTGTTTTTTGCAGTGCTGAAGATTGAATTATGGACCTCACACATGCTGGCCAAGTGCTGTACCACTGACTGAGCTATACCCCAACTCCCTATGTTAAGTTTTTTTTGGGGACCCCTTGATTTCGTTGGGGTTGGACCCCCAGTTTTTAAAAGGGTTTTTGCTTTTTTTTGTTTGGTTTTTTTTTTTTCCGGTTTGGGCGGTTATTATTCTTTTAATTTTTATTTGCCTTTTTGAGCATTGACTAAATATGCCAGCCATTTTATATGTATTATTCCATTTAATCCTCTTTAAAGCCTTTTGAAGTGTCTATTATCTCAGTTTTACAGATTAAGAAACTGGTGCTCAGAAAGGCTAGACACCACGACTGGCATCTCTCCAATGGTAAATGGCAGAGCTGAGCTTGGAACTCTAGTTGTGCCTAATTCCAAGTTAACTCAAGACTCTGAACATAAATATTCTTGGTGGCATGGAGGTACTGGGTTACTTGCAGGAAACCAGATTTTAGTTTTCTCTCTCTCTGGACTGTGCTTGTAGAAGCTTTTGACTATTTCTTTAAATTTATCTTGCATTTTACCTTTTGTGTGTGTGGGTGAGTGTTTTCTTTTTACCTGGGTTTATGTTTTGAAAATGTGCCTTCATTGTCAGTGAACAATGAAACAGGCAGGAAACCAAACGCTTTGTTGTTATTAGTGGGTAAATATAGCATCGGGGCTGGTTTTTCCTCTTCTGAATCTTTTCCAAAGTATTTCTCCATATAGCAACTGTAATATGAGCCTTAATAAACATTCTGCTCATTTGGATGCCCTTACTAGTTGGGAGAACTCATTTGATTTTCATGTCTTTTTGCTCTTCTTGGGTGAGCTTATCAATCATCTCTTGTCCAATTTTCTTTGTTACAGATTGAATTTCGAAACGCGTCTCACAGTGCCTGTAGGCTTTCTTCCCAAAGATCTCTTTCCTGTCTTAGACAGTTCACACACCATTGTTAAAGCACAGGCACACACCATCTTTAGCCAAGGATAACATCTCCTCCAAGACTTCTGCTTTACAGGTGTTTGATTCCATTCATTTGTTGTTGAATGTCTCCATTACTAATGTAATGTGTTCTGAATTCCTCTTTCATTTTGCTCTCTAAGCAAATTAGTGAACCATTTTGAGGATCATATTACTTTTTTTTTTTCCTACTTAGGATTTTGAATTCTGTTCTTGGTAATGCTGAGAATTAGCCTAGCGTGTTGCCTTAGTCTGCTTTTCTCACTTGGGTAAGAAAGCGCACTCAAGAGGAGGCATAGCCCTTGCAGCTATTCCCTAAAGCCTTCTCCAAGGGGCCCTTTTTCTCTCTGCAGGTTTCTAGATGTTCAAACTGGGACTTTCTCTGGTGCTGGCTCACCTGGCTGCCCTGAGCATCCTGCTGGTTGTTCTGATTTAAAAATAGTAGCTTGCATTTACATACAGGCTTTTATTTTTAAAGCACATTGAAATATACTGACTGAAGTCTCACTTAAATACAGTGAGTAAGCATGATAATCCCTATTTGATAGATGAGGAACTAAGATGTATGGGGGTGAAGTAATTTTCTCAAAGAGTATAAACTAAGTGGCAGGTTCAGGGTGCAGACTTTATCTTTTGCTTATATTTCATCAGCACTTGGATATAATCACATTCTTTCTAGTTCCTAGTAATCAGATTTTTTTTTATACTTATAAATGGACAGCATGCCTTCATTTTATTTGTTTATTTTTATGTGGTGCTGAGGATTGAACCTAGGGCCTCACACGTGCAAGGCAAGCGCTCTGCTACTGAGCCACAGCCCCAGCCCTAGTAATCAGATTTTGGATTAAAAATATTTATAAAGAAACTAATGGAAAACAAAAAGGAAATATGTGTGGGGAAAGCAAGGTACATGAAGTCAGATGAAAATGAGCAGGTTTGTCCTAAGTTTGAACCACATATTTCTTCATGGATCTGTATGCTTTGAAATCACCACAAACTTAGCAACATAAAAGAATATCCATTTATTAGCCCAGAGTCCTGTAGGCCAGACAGATTTGGAGTCTTGTAGGGCACGCCCGAGTTCCTTGCTCGGAGGATCTCAAGGCTGAGGTCAAGGTGTTGACCAGTTTGGGCTCTTCTCTAGAAGCTCTAGGGAAGAGTTCACTTCTAAGCTCAAGCTTGTTGGCAGAATTGAGGGTTGTAGACCTGAGATCCCACTTTCCTGTCTGGCTGTCATATGGAGGCTGCTCTCAGTTCTGAAGCCACTTAAATGTCCTGAAAATACCCCTCCATTTTCAGGACAGCAATGGCACCTCACATCCTCACGCCTCAAGATTCTGACCTCCCCTTCTGTGATCAGACAGAGAGAACTCTCTGCTTTCGCAGAGCTCATATAATTAGGTCCGGTTCACCCAAATAATTCTCCTATCCCAGGCCCAACTATACCATTTAACATAACCTAATGATGTGAGTAAAACATCATAATGTTCAGTCTTGGGGATTATGCAGGATGTGTACACCAGGCAGATGAAAAATCTTAGAATCCTATCTTCTGGGAAAAATGTTATTTTGAGGAACACAGACCTTGTTATTCTTTACCATTTTAGATAACACTAAGGGTTTTGGGACCTTAATTGTAGGGCCTGCAGGGAACCCTAAAACCTCAACACTATTTGTTGATTTGGTCTCTGAGTGTGGCCTTAAGCAGCCATATTGGACATCGTGGTGCTCAGATGGAGGCCACTCATGACTCCAACCCCAAGAATTCCTAAATCTGTCTTTCCCCATGCCCCTAAAGGTCTTTTGGTTCCTGTTCTTGTCCTGAGCCATCTGTTAATATTCTGAGTGGCTGGCCTCAGTGTCAATCACCAAGAAGGTACAGTGGCCTCTGTCCCCGGTGCACTATAACTTCTTCCCTTATTGTCCTAGACAGTGTCAGGAATGGATTCTATTTCATCCCAAGTAGTATGAAATGATGAATTATACCTGGGCTCAGCACTGAAAGCCTCTTTGGCTTCCTCCCATTTCCTAGTTTCCGATTAACATGGAAGAACATGTCTTTGTCCCACTGGCCTGCTATCAACTTGGCACCTTCCAGCCACTTCTTATTCCTGATCGGATGATCACATGGAATTCTAAGCTTGTCTGCTGAGTTGGATGACAGACATTACCAGACTTGAACAATAGTGTGGACCAGTGCTTCTGACCATAAACTCTCAGATAGCCCACCTGCCTCGGAAAAACAATCTTTTAGAATTATAACTCTAAAACGCCTTATTATGTGCCCAACATGTTCTTAGGTGCCTCACTATAAATAAGAATTGTGGCCACACTTCCCAATGGTACAGGAAAGTATCATTAAACACATTTCACCAATGAAGAAATGATGGTGCATGCCTGTAATTCCAGTGGCTCAGGAGGCTAAGATAGGAAGACTGTGAGTTCAAAGCCAGCCTCAGCAAAAGCGAGGTGCTAAGCAACTCAATGAGACCCTGTCTCTAATAAAATACAAAATAGGGCTGGGGATGTGGCTCAGTGATTGGGTGCCCCTGAGTTCAGTTCCATGTACCTGAAAAACAATAACAACAACAACAACAAGAAAGTTCACACAGATTACCTAAGGCTACAGAACTGAAAAGTGACAGAAATACCAGTTTAGACTACTTACACTCTTGTGATTACTTGTTCATAGGGAAAGCAAAACACTCCCACTATGAGAACACCATAAGCTCAGGGAAAGCAGTGCTGCTTTCTCACACTGGGCTACTAGAGGCTTCTACCCCGTATGTTGTCTTAAAACTTTGTTTTAGGAAACATTCTGCTGCCGTTGATGCTGGCATGCTGTTCCCAGTTCTATCAGTATGGCTGCTGCCTGCACATCCCAACACAACACTGCACTGCGAAGGGTTTCACAATGTCTAAATTAACAAAACAACTCTTAGAACATTTCCCACAAAGTGCTATATGCAAAACTCATGTGTGGTGTGCACATTTGGGATAGCAGCCATGTCTCTGCTTCCTATGTAGATGTGGGGTGGGGGCACCTGCAGCAGGGATATTTTCTGAGCTGTGTGACTTGATTGAGGGCACATCTAGATGGCCAGGCAGACATTTTGGCCAGGCGCCTCTTCCTCTTGAGTGTGCAATGGCAGAGAGAGGTTGCAGTGGGAGTGGATTCCTTTGTCCTCACCCTGGTTGGCTCAGCTCTGTTGTTTCACGGCTGTGCTCACAAGTTTGTCTGTACTTACCCAGGGCACAGTCTCCTCCTGATGGAACTTCCCAGCCCATGGCCTCTGCGGGGACCTCAGGCTGAGTGGGGTTGGCCATTTCCTGTATTCACCCTCTTGTATTCACTCTGATTCATCAAGAAGTGAAACCTGATTCAAAGATAGCCAATCCATAGACTGACCATGACCTATGAGGTGGCCCAGGCTTTTCCCTATCAGAAGCTCTGTAGTTCATTTGGCCAATCCAGTTCTCCTTCTTGAAAATCTGAACCAGAAGATAAAGAAAGAACCAGTCAGTTGGTAGACAGAACAGCAGACACAAAATGGGCAGATGACCAGAATAACTGCCCACTCTGGTGGTGAAGCATTGAGGCTCAGGATTGGGAACTCAGGAGATTGATGTAGAAACAAAATAATGCAATGCTTAGAGTTGCCAGAGATCCCAAAACATGCCCTTGACATCTCTTTCTCATACCTGACTGGATTTTGTTTCTGTTCATGTATTTTAGCAAGA